ATTTTCAGCAAGCAAGGTTGTGTCATCTGCATAACACAGGTTGTTAATGAGACTTCCTCCAATTCTGATGCCCCATTCGTCTTCATATAGTCCAGCTTCTCGGAATATTTGCTGAGCATACAGATTGAATAGATATAGTGAAAGGATACAACCCTGACGCACACCTTTCCTGACTTTTAACCACACAATATCCCCTTGCTCTATTCGAAAGACTGCCTCTTGATCTATGTACAGGTTCCTCATGAGTGCAGTTAAGCGTTCTGGAATTCCCATTCTTCGCAATGTTACCTATAATTTGTTAGGATCCACACAGTTGAATGCCTTTGCACAGTCAATAAAACACAGATAAACATCTTTCTGGTATTCTCTGCTTTCAGCCAGGATCCATCTGACATCAGCAATGATATCCCTGGTTCCGCATCCTCTTCTGAATCCAGCTTGAATTTCTGGCAGTTCCCTGTCGATATACTGCTGCAGCTGCTTTTGAATGATCTTCAGCAAAATTTTACTTGCATGTGATATTAATGATATTGTTAGATAATTTCTGCATTCCGTGGATCACCTTTCTTGGGAATAGGCATAAATATAGATCTCTTGCAGTCAGTTGGCCAGGTAGCTGTCTTCCAAATTTCTTGGCATAGACAAGTGAGTACCTCCAGTGCTGCATCCATTTGTTGAAACATCTTAATTGGTATTCTGTCAATTCCTGGAGTCCTGTTTTTCACCAATGCCTTCAGTGTAGCTTGGACTTCTTCCTTCAGTACCATTGGCTCCTGCTCATACGGAACCTCCTGAAATGGTTGAATGTCGACCAATTCTTTTTGGTATAGTGACTCTGTGTATTCCTTCCATCTTCTTTTGATGCTTCCTGAGTCATTTCATATTTTCCCCATAGAATCCTTCACTATTGCAACTCGTGGCTTGAATTTTTTCTTCAGTTCTTTCAGCTTGAGAAATGCAAAGCGTGTTTTTCCCTTTTGGTTTTCCATCTCCAGGTCTAGCACGTGTCATTATAATACTTTGTCTTCTCGAGTCACCCTTTGATATCTTCTGTTCAACTGTTTTATTTCATCATTTCTTCCTTTCGCTTAGCTACTCAACGTTCAAGAGCAAGTTTCAGAGTTTCTTCTGACATCCATTTTGGTCTTTTCTTTCTTTCCTGTCTTTTTAATGATCTCTTGCTTTCTTCATGCATGATGCCCTTGGTGTCATTCCACAACTTGTGTGGTCTTCAGTCATTAGTGTTCAACGTGTCAAATCTATTCTTGATGTCGTCTCCAAATTCAAGTGGGATATACTCAAGGTCATACTTTGGCTCTCGTGGACTTTTTCTGATTTTCTTCAGCTTCAACTTAAACTAGCACATGAGCAATTGATGGTCTGTTCTGCAATTGGCCCCTGGCCTTGTTCTGACTGATGATATTGAGCTTTTCCATCGTCTCTTCCCACAGATGTAGTCGATTGTATTCCATACGGTGAGGTCCACGTGTATAGTCTCCATTTATGTTGGTGAAAAAAGGTATTTGCAATAAAGAAGTCGTTGGTCTTGCAAAATTCTATTATGCCATCTCCGGCATCATTTCTATCACCAAGGCCATATTTTCCAACTATCGATCCTTCTTTGTTTCCAACTTTTGCATTCCAATCTCCATTAATTATCAATGCATCCTGATTGCATGTTCGATCAATTTCAGACTGCAGAAGTTGGTAAAAATCTTCAATTCTTCATCTTTGGCCTTAGTGGTTGGTGCGTAAATTTGAATAATTGTCATATTAACTGGTCTTCCTTGTAGGTGTATGGATATTATCCTATCACTGACAACGTTGTACTCCAAGATAGCTCTTGAAATGTTCTTTTTGACGGTGAATGCAACACCGTTCCTCAAGTTGTCGTTCCTGGCATAGTAGACCATATGATTGTTCAATTCAAAACGGCCAATACCAGTCCATTTCAGCTTACCAATGCCTAGGATATCAATGTTTATGGCTTCCTTTTTTTTTTTTTTTTTTTGCCAACTTTCAATTTTCCTAGATTCATACTTCATACATTCTATATTCCGATTATTAATGGATGTTTACAGCTGTTTCTTCTCATGTTGAATCGTGACACATTAGCAAATGAAGGTCCTGAAAGCTTGACTCCATCCATATCATTAAGGTCGACTCTACTTTCAGGAGGCAACTCTTCTCCAGTCATATTTCAAGTGCCTTCTAACCTGAGGGGTTCATCCTCCGGAACTATATCAAACAATGTTCCTCTGCTATTCATAAGGTTTTCACTGGCTAAATCTTTTCAAAAGTAGACTGCATGTCTTTCTTCCCTGTCTATCTTAGTCTGGAGGCTCAGCTGAAAGCTGTCCGCCATGGGTGACCCTGCTGGTATTTGAATACTGGTGACATAGCTTCCAGCCTCACAGCAGCACGAAAGCCCCCACAGTATGACAAACTGACAGAAACTGGGGGGAAATCTGCAGTAGTTAACTAGTATAAAACACATGTAGAATGAGAATGACTAAAAATGAAAATTAGTCTGGACACTCCTAAATGATTATAGAGAGATACGATTCCAAATAGATCCTTGGTCTAGTGAAGACTGGCCTCTAAGATACTTAGGTTCATTCCTTCAGGAACATGGATATTATTATGGATAGTTTTTCCCCTTGAGTGGAGCCCTGTGGTGCAGGGTTAAGAGCTCAGCTGCTAACCAAGAGGTCAGCAGTTTGAATCCACCAGCTGCCCCTTGGAAACCCTATGGCGCAGTTCTACTCTGTTCTACAGGGTTGCTATGAGTTGGAATGGACTCGATGGCATCGCGTTTTTCCCTTTGAGTGACCCACATAGATGATAGAACTTCATACCTTTGTTTAGCTTTCATTGAAAGTTGAGAAATTTCGTGATTCATTAGTATCTCTATGGTGTGATATTAAGTTGGATCGAAATTCAAATATAAACAAATTATTTTCTTGTAGATTATTTTGGGTTTGCTAAGGAGCCCTTGTGGAGCCCTGGTGGCCTAGTGATTAAGAGCTACGCTGCTGACCCAAAAAGGTCAGTGGTTCAAAGTCACCAGCTGCTTCTTGGAAACCCTACGGGCAGTTCTACTCTGTCCTGTAGGGTCGCAGTGAGTCAGAATAGACTAGACAGCAGTGTATTTGATTTTTGGTTTGGGCGGGAAACTTGTTTTGCCCACCTTTCTATCTCCTTCCAAATGATCAGCTCTTTCTTTTATATTAACAATGATTTGAGTGCTTTATTTTCATGAACTTTTAAAAATTATACCTCAGTTATTTTTTTTTTTTTGCATTGTGTGTAGCAGTAATCCAGCTGGCAGGACACATACCATTATATGACCATTATATGGATTAGGACTGACTTTGGTGACTGAGAAATTTCAAATAGACCCTTGGACTAATAAAGACTTACCTCTAAGGTATTTAGGTTTAGTCTTTCAGAAAATATGAATATCATAGTGTCTTCTTCACGAATGATGTACATGATGGGATCTTCATAAGTAGCAGTTCACTTTTTATCATAGCTTGCTTTAATCACAAGTTAATAAAGGTTTTTGATTCGCTGGTTGTTTCTCTGTGGTGCAATATTTGTTTGGGTCTAAATGCCCAGGTAGGCAAATTCATGCCTGTTATATTATTTCAGCTTTACTATGTATGGTGATGTTGGTAGATCATTAATGAACGATAAACATTCAAAGATCCTGGCTTGTGGCCAGGGGATGAGATCCACATATTTGCTACCTTGTGTGTGTAAAGTTGAATAAAATTAAAATTTTCCCGATATCTGATTTACATTTTAGCAAGAGCATCCATGAGATGTAGTTCTCTGCTTTGGCTACCACCCTACTCCTGGTCACCTAGATAAAGACAACTGAGGAAAATCAATCTTTTGCTTTTTTGTGAGTTAAATTGTATGCCCCAAAAAGATATGTTGAAGTCCTAATCCCAGGTAACTGCAATTGTAAGCTTATTTGCAATTGAATAATGAGCAAACTGATACCCCATTATCAGATCCCAAGTGACATATTGCTCCAATATTTACAATATAATGAAAGTATATGCTATGAATACTGTCAGTTGTTCTTGAAATGGCAATTGAGATGAGTAGGTTTATCAATTCAGGCAATATGAGTACAACTATGGGTTGTGCTTCTCAATAAGGCTCAGGCATACCTGAAGGCAGCATCATGAGAAAAGTTTACTATTAACTGAAATTTTTTTGTTATAATGAGATATTTTCTGATTCTTGTTACCATCTGTATAATGTGATAAACCTTTAGTCTAAATAACAAAGGATATATATTAATGCTTATTAGTTTGTGATGGTAATGTTTTGGGATATGTTTGAGTGATTAATAACACTTAACAACAACAAAAAGTACACTTTGGCCAGAGATTTAAAATTCAAGAAGATGTATTGGCAAATAATCATGAAAATGAATATACTCTGAAGTGTCCTGATATATGATTTCTAGATGCCTAGTTTCATGTGGCTTCAGGAGGGTCATTTTGTGAGAGTTCATCTGCAATGAAACATGCAAATTGTTACAAACGTGGTTTCTTTCAATATATATCTACAAGGGGTAATATATGGAAAAGTATCTTTTCTGCATGAAATCTCACAAGCCCTCCACTGTGAAGAATCCTCTACGCATTATCTTCATATTTCTTGGTGTTAACGCTCAGCATCCTATATAATGGGCCATTTTTGCGGTACTGATCTTATCACTTTATTTAGGAATAGCATATATGAGCCACACCCATATGAGACAAGAATTTCTCTCCTTTGAGCCCTGTCACTTCATTGACAAAGATTTCTGAAAAAGAACTCTCTGAGCCTGCTGCCCCTGGGGCAATTCTGATCTCCAAGGTATCCTGCAGAGAACATGTGTGAACTCCGATCCAGTATAGGACTGGGCTTGAAGGAAGACATCTATAATAAGCACACTGAGGTTTGAAAGGAAGTATGCCTCAGGAATGCCATGGCATGAGTCATTGACAAGACATAAATATGTATAGAAGAGGATGACAAAAAAATTAGGCTCAATTGCATTATGTTGAGGCCCAGAAGAGGGGACAGTCCTGGAAGACAGAAATGGAACTTCTGGAAGGGGAGTTTTGAATGATATATTGGTCTAGAGACAATGAAACTCTAGTGGGAAAATTATTTTGCCCAATGTTATGTATCTCATTCTAAGAAGGCCACAAATTTCAATTTTTTAAGCCTTATTTAAATTATCTATAAGTACTAAAGTTTGGCATTTCTTACGCTTATTCATTGGCTTTTTTCCTATCCTTGTGTGTTTCAGAAAGACTAGCTGCCAAGAAATTCACGATTATGTTGATTCAAGGTAGGTGTCTGTATTTTATTTTGTTTCGTACCACCTGTTTGTGAGATAAGTGACGATTCATCCCATAGGCAATTGACTTTACACAATAAGATAAGATGAGTGCCCTGTGGTATTTTCTTTACAATGAGTGATTGAACAAGTGAACCCCAGGGGAGATCTCTAGATACTACCAAAACTTGAAGCAACTGCTAGTGAAGGAATTTTTGATTCACTGGCACCAAGTCCAATGAGTCATATTGATTTGGGGAAAGACACAGCTAGACAACTTTGTTTTCATAGTATTTTTATGGGACTTTAATGGAGTAGAGTTTCATTGGTGACACTGATCAGCTTCCCAAATTGAATGACTTCACCAATGAATAACAGTTGGCCCTTGAAACCTGGAATTGAGTGAACTGTTGACTAGTGTGATAATATTTTCAACTTAAAAAAAAAAACAAAAAAAAAAAAAACAACTCCATCGTTTTCTTTTTTTTATTGTATTTTAGATGAAGGTTTACAGAGCAAATTAGTTTCTCATTTAACAATTAATACACGTATTGTTTTGCCACCCCCATGACATGTCAACACTCTCCTCTTCTCAACCTTGGGTTCCCCTTTACCAGTTCTCCTGTCCACTCCTATCTTCTCGTGCTTGCCCCTGGCTGGTGTGCCCATTTAGTCTCATTTTGTTTTATGGACCTGTCTAATCTTTGGCTGAAGGGTAAACCTCAGGAGTAACTTCAGTACTTATTTAAAAGGGAGCCCAGGAGCCATACTCTAGGGGTTTCTCCAGCGTCTGTCAGACCAGTAAGTCTGGTCTTTTTTTTTGTTTTGTTTTGTTGAGTTAGAATTTTGTTCTACATTTTTCTCCAGCTCTATCCGGAACCCTCTATTGCGATCCCTGTCAGAGCAGTCGGTGGTGGTAGCTGGGCACCATCTAGTTGTGCTGGACTCATTCTGGTGGAGGCTGTGGTACTTGTGATCGATTAGTCCTGTGGACTAATCTGTCTCTTGTGTCTTTGATTTTCTTCATTCTTTCTTGCTCCAGATGGGGTGAGACCAGTGGAGTATCTTAGGTGGTCACTCACAAGCTTTTAAGACCTCAGACGCTACTCACCAAAGTAGGATGTAGAACATTTTCTTTATAAACTATGTTATGCAATTAAGTTAGATGTTCCCGGAGACCATGGTCCCCAACCCTTAGCCCAGTAATTTGGTCTCTCATGGAGTTTGGATATGTCTATGCAGCTTCCATGACCTTCCCTTGGACAAGTTGTGCTGGCTTCCCCAGTATTGTGTACTGTCTTACCCTTCACCAAAGACCACTTATCTGTTGTCTAGTTAGTGTTTTTCCCTCCCCACCCCTCTCCTCCCTTGTAACCATCAAAGGTTGTTTCTTTCTGTTTGTAAACCTTTTCATGAGTTTTTATAATAGTGGTCTCACAATTTTTGTCATTTTGTGATTGACTTATTTCACTCAGCATAATGCACTCCAGATTCAACCAAGTTGTGAGATATGTCACAGATTCATCATTGTTCTTTATTGTTGCATAGTATTCCATTGTTGTATGTACTCTTGTTTGTTTATGCATTCATCTGTTAATGGGCACTTAGGTTGTTTCCATCTTTTTGCTATTGGTAATAATGCTGCAATGAACATGGGTGTGCATATGTCTATTCATGTGATGGATCTTATTTCTCTAGGACATATTTCTAGTAGTGGGACTACTGGATCCTATGGTATTTCTATTTCTAGCTTTTTAAGAAAGTGTTATAATCTTTTCTAAAATGATTGTGCCATTTTGCATTTCCACCAGAAGTGCATAAGAGTTCCAATCTCCTTGCAGCCTCTCCAACATTTGTTATTTTCTGTTTTTCTGATTTGCGCCAGTAATGTTGGGGTGAAATGGTATCTCATTGTGGTTTTAATTTGCATTTCTCTAATGGCTAGTGATCACGAGCACTTCCTCATGTGTCTGTTAGCCACATGAATGTCTTCTTTGAAGTGTCTGTTCATACCTTTTGTCCATTTTTTAATTGGATTATTTTTCTTTTTTTGTAGAAATGTTGGATTCTCCTAAAGATTTTAGATTTTACAGATTTCGTAGGATTTTCATAGCCAAAAATTTTTTTCCCAGTCTGTATGTTCTCTTTTACTCTTTTGATGAGCATAAGTGTTTAATTTTTAGAAGATCCTAGTTATCTAGCTTATATTATGGTGTTTGTGTATTGTCAGTTATGGTTTGTATCCTGTTAATGCCATGTATTAGGGCCTCTAGCATTGACCCTCACTATGACCTTTATAGTTTTTGGTTTTATATTTAGGTCTTTGATCCATTTTGAATTAGTTTTTGTGTATGGTGTGAGGTATGGGTACTGTTTCATTTTTTTACAGATAGATATGCAGTTTTGCCAGCATCATTTGTTAAAAAGTCTGTCTTTTCCCCATTTGATGGACTTTGGGCCTTTGTCAAAGATCAGGTGACTGCAGGTGGATGGATTTACATCTGGGTTCTCAATTCTGTTCCATTGGTCAATGTGTCTGTCATTGTACCAGTACCAGGCTGTTCTGACCACAGTAGCTGTATATAGGTTCTGAAGTCAGGTACTGCAAGTCCTCCTACTTTATTCTTCTTCAATAGTGCTTTACTTATCCAGGGCCTCTTCCCTTTCCATATTAAGTTAACGATTAGTTTTTCCATCTCTTTAAAGAATGCTGTTGGTTCTTGGATCGGGATTGTATTGTATTTGTAGATTGCTTTGGGTAGAATTGACATTTTCACAATGTTGATTATACCTACCCATGAGCATGGTATGTTTTTCTAGTTATGTAGGTCTCTTTTGGTTTCTTGCAGTAGTATTTTTTAGTTTTCTTTGTATAGGTCTTTTACATCCTGGGTTAGATTTATTCCTAAGTATTTTTTTCTAATTATTTTTTTTTTATTGATGTAATTAAATGAAGTTTACATTTCAAGTTAGTCTCCCATACAGAAATTTTTTTTTAACATACATTGTTATGAGACCCCAACTTCTCACCCCATTCTGCGACAGGACACTCCTCCCCTCCACCCCTGATTCCCCATGAACATTCAACCAGCTCCTAACTCTCTCTGCCTTCCCATCTCACCTCTGGACAGAAGCCGCCCCTTTGGTCTCTTATATCTACTTGTCTAAGAGGCACATTCTTCACGAGTATCACTTTATGTCCCATAGTCCAGTTCAATCCCTGTCCGAAGAGTTGGCCTTGGAAATTGTTCCATTTCTGGGGTGATGGAGAGACCAGGGGCCATGCTTTCTGGGGTGCCTCCAGTCTTAGTCAGACCATTAAGTCTGGTCTTCTTACTAGTGTTTGAGTTCTGCTTCCCATCGTTCTACTGCTCCATCAGGGACTCTCTGTTGTGTTCCCTGTCAGGACATTCATTGGTGGTAGCTGTGCACCATCTAGTTCTTCTGGTCTCAGGCTGATGAAGTCTCTGGTTTATGTGGGCCATTCTGTCTCTTGGGCCAATACTTCCCTTGTGTCTTTGGTGTTCTTCGTTCTCCTTTACTCCACATGGTTGGTACCAATTGATGCATCTTAGATGGCTGCTTGCAAGCTTTTAAGACCCCAGACGCCACTCACCAAAGTAGGATGCAGAACATTTTCTTAATAAGGTTTGTTGTGCCGGCTGACATAGATGTCCCCTGAAAGCATGGTCCCCAGACCCCACATCCTGCTACTCTTTCTCTCAAAGTATTTGATTGTATTGAGGAAACTTCTTAGCTTTGGTTTAGTCCAGTTGTGCTGGCTTCCCCTGTAGTGTGTGCGTCCTTCCCTTCACCTAAAATCAATCTTATCTACTATCTAGTTAGTGAATAACCCTCACCCTCCCTCCCCACCCCCGTAACCATCAAAGAATGTTTTCTTCTGTGTTTAAACCTTTTCTTGAGTTCTTATAATAGTGGTCTTATACAGTATTTGTCTTTCTGTGCCTGACTAAATTCACTCAGCATAATAAGTTCTAGCTTCCACCAAGTTATACGATGTTTCACAGCTACATCACTGTTCTTTATCGTTGCGTAATAGTCCATTGTGTGGATATACCATAGTTTGTTTATCCATTCGTCCATTGATGGGCACTTAGGTTGCTTGCATCGTTTGGCTATTGTGAACAGTGCTACGATGAACATGGGTGTGCATATATCTATTCGTGTGATGGCTCTTGTTTCTCTAGGATATATTCCAAGGAGCGGGATAGCTGGATCGTATGGTACTTCTATTTCTAGCTTTTTAAGAAGTGCCAAATCGATTTCCAAAGTGTTTGTACCATTTTACAGTATTTTATTTTTTTAGGGGCTATTATAAATAGTATTGTTTTCAGATTTCTTTTTCATAGTTCTCTTTATTGGTGCATAGGAATCCAACTGATTTTTGTATGTTTATCTTGTATCCTGCTATGCTGATGAATCTTTCTATTAGTTCCAGTAGTTTTCTCATAGAGTTTTTTTGTGTTTTCTGTGTATAGTATCATATCATCCACAAATAGGAACAGTTTTACTTCTTCCTTACCAATTTGGATGCCCTTTATTTCTTTTTCTTGTCTTATTGCTCTAGCTGGGACTTCCAGCACAATGTTAAAGTGGTGATAAAAGTCATCTTTGTCTTCTTCCTCTTCTCAAGGGGAACATTTTCAGCCTCTCTATCCATTAAGAATGATGTTGGCTTTTGGTTTTATATAACCTAAAAAAAAAAA